GTGCAGAGGCAGCATGTGGCTGCTCTCTTGTTGCAACCTCTGCCTTCCCATGCCACAGCTGCTCCAGCCCCTTTACCTAGCAGCAACATCCACTGCCCTGGGTTCCTTCTGGCCTTGGTGCTGGCCCTGCTGGCCCACTGCAGCAACCACCATCTGGCCTGGGGCAGTCTGGGCCCTGTGGCACCACCTTCTCCCCCCCATGCAGCACTCACCTGGCCAGCCTCACCCCATCCTGCTGGCTGAACCCTGGCAGGGCCACCAATGACATGCTCCTGGGCACCATTGCTGGGGCTGTCCACACCCTCCTGGGCCTCTAGTCCCACAGTCCCTGGATCAACCAGGTCAGCCAGAGCTGGTGGCTACATGTTGCCCAGCAGACCTGGGATGACGAGCAGTGGCTGGAGGCGCTCTGGATGATCCTGGCCCCTTCCAGGATCATCCAGAAGCAGCTCTGGCCCCCTATGGAGCAACAGGACACCAGCTTGTGTCTACCCCTCCCTGCAGACACCCAGCTGACCATCTCCCTGCTCAAGGCAGCCATGCCTGCAGCCTCCCGGTATGAACTGACTGCCCAGAGGAATTTTCCATCTCTTGACTCCTCTGTGAAATCCTATGAAATATGAACTTTCATTTCTACCCAGGAGAACTTTTACAATCTTTTCTCCAATGCCTGATGAAGTGTGTTTGTGTCTGAAAGCTTGCAGTTAAAGAATTGTTTTTGCAAATATCTTGTTGGTCTAATAAAAGATACAATCTCTACTACAAGTCCTGATTGCCTTTTCCTCTAGACCAATACAGCTACAACCTGAATACCAAAAACTAAATGTAGCATTCCTGACAAGAGCACACCTTTTTTAGAGAATGGCATTAAAATTTTGTTCCATTAAGGAGTTTAAGGAAAGCTTTGTTGAAGCTAGTGGGTGTAATGAATTTCACTCATTGTGAATGTAAGACACAGTAATGTTCTTTTCTTGGGATCAGAAAGCTGAAGTAATAGGAGACACTGCCCCCAAACTCAGACCACACGCAAGTGAATCAGGAATCTCAGATATGTGGGTTGGAAGCCTGGCTACTTACTCATGGGGCAGGGAATTGTTTGATGGAGCTGTGTGTTTGTGTGTGGTGCATGCACATAAATAGGGGCAGGAATTAATACCTAAGAAGCTGAATTAGGAGAAAACTTCAGAGAAGCACTTGTGGCATTAACAAGCTGAGAGGGACAGGTTTTGGACTGAGTGCTGGCTGGAACAGGGCTCGGATCTGCGAGCAAAAAACCAGTTTCCTGATTTTAGGCGCCGGAAAGTGGCCTCTACTTTAACTGTCTTTCCCAGGTGTTTGAGGTTTAACTTTCTGTGCTCTGGAAAGGCAGGAGACAGCAATGAGTGACAATAAAGGTTTCAGGCAGTGAATCTATACTTTGTTTCTAAGTTGTGTATTAAATGTAGGAAACCGCATGGTAATGCTTATACTCCCTGACGTAGGTAATGCAGGAACATGTGAGGATGTGTGTGTATATATAGGTATGTGTGCATGGATGAGTGTATGTGCATATGTTTATGTGTATGAGGGTGTGTACGTATGTGTACATGGGTGTGTGTGTGCACATGTGTGTACATGGGCATGAACGTATGCATCTGTGTGCATAGGTTTGTGATTACAGAGCCACTGCTGTGATTGCAGAGCTGCTGGCCATTATCTTTGAAAAATCATGGCAATTGGGAGAGGTCCCAGATGATTGAAAAAAAGGGCAAATATAGTGCCCATCTTTAAGAGAGGAAAGAAGGAGGATCCTGGGAACTACAGACTGGTCAGCCTCCCCTCAGTCCTTGGGGAAATCAATTATGGAGCAGGTTCTCAAGGAATTAATTTCTAAGCACTTGGAGGAGAAGAAGGTGATTAGGGACAGTCAGCATAGATTCACCAGGGGCAAGTCATGCCTGATATACCTGATTGCCTTCTATTATGAGATGACTTGCTCTGTGGATATGGGAAGAGCAGTGGATGGGATATATCTCAGCTTTAGCAAGGCTTTTGATATGGTCTCCCACAACATTCTCACAAGCAAACTAAGGAAGTATGAGTTGGATGAATGGACGGTAAGGTGGATAGAAAACTGGATGGATCATTGGGCTTAGAGGGTACTAATCAATGGCTTGATTTTTCATGGCAGCTGGCATCAAATGGAGTGCCTCAGGGGTCAGTCCTGGAGCTGGTTTTGTTCAATATTTTTATCAATGACCAGCACCATACCTAGACTCCTGGTGGCCCTAGGTGAACTTTTAGTATTGGGCCCCCCTTTGCCAGAGATAATGATAAATTCTCTGTAACCTGGAGGTTACAGTGAACAATAAGTTGAATATGAGCCAACAGTGGACCCTTGTTGCCAAGAAGGCTAACAGCATACTGGGCTGCATTAGTAGGAGCATAGTTAGCAGACTGAGGGAAGTGATTCTTTTGCTCTATTTGGCACTGGTGAGGCCACATCTGGAGTACCATGTTCAGTTTTGGGCCCTCCATTACAGAAAGCATGTAGACAAATTGGAGAGTCTAATGCAAGGGTGGGCAATTATTATGGCTGGAGAGCCACTTAATGAGTTTTGGTGAGCTGTCAAAGTCTGCAAGGGTAGTCCTGCCCCTTGACAGGTGCCCTACCCTCTGGTTGCCATCTTGAAACTGGAAGTTCTGCCCCCTAACCCCTGCCCTTTTCCCCTGGCTGTCCCTCCCCTTGCCCCTGGATGTATTCCTTTTGGGAGTGGAGGGTTGCCATCTTGTAACTGGAAAAAAATGAAATCATATACTAAAAGTTAAACAGCCACTATAATGTAATGTTATTACAAAAATATTTTCATTATGATTTGTTTGTGTAGTGTATATAGAGATGATTGCATAATAACTCAGATATAAAGTCTTACTGTCATATATTGGGTGCGTGGGGTGTAGTTGGGTGTGTATATGGTGGATTGTGTGTATGTGGGGTTTGTGAGGGGGTGTGGCTGTGTGGGGGGTATAGGGTATGTTGGGGGCATATTGTGGGGGCTTCATGGGGGCAGGCTGTGGGTGTGTGGGGTTTATGGGATGAGGGAGGCTGGGGGTGTGTGTGGACCTCTCACACACTCCACCCCATGGCACACAGCCCCTGCCGCCAGCAGCAGCAGCAGCAGTAACAGCAGGTGGTGGGTGCTTGCAGTGCTCACTGCCCATGCAGGCACTGCAGCCTGGCAATGCATGGCTCCAGCCAGCACTGCACATGGTTGCAAGAAGCGCAGCTAGGCTGGTTCACCTCTGTCCTGTTCTGTGGGCCTCCCCACCACTTCCAGCGGAGTCCTGGGACCTGCATGGGAGGGAGAGGTGAAAGGCACCTGTTTCCATCACATGGGGCTTCCCCCAGGTAGACATGCACCACAGGGAGCCCCGTGCAATAGAGGTGGGCCAGCCTGGCTCCGCTCCTCATCACCACATGCAGTGTTGGCTGGAGCCATATGCCACTGGGTGGCAGTGCCTGCACAGGCCATGAGTGCCTGCAGCCTGCTGCTGCTGCTGCTGCTAGCAGCAGGGGCTATACACTAGGGCTGTGTGAAATTTCACTGGCAGTTTTGTTTTGACGCTGTTTTGACTCATTTTGAGCTTGAAACAGCAAACTCAAAATGAAACAGAAAGCTTTGAAACAGCCTCAAAACAAAATGAGGCAAGTCGAAAAGCTTCGAAAATTTTGAAACCTTTCGAAGCTCAAGATGGGCTTGCCCGCACGAAAACAGAAGCTAAAGTAAGGAGAGGGAGGGGGAAGAGGGGGAAAGAGGAGGGAAGGAGTGCTTTCATTATTAACTGTGTAGCTGGCGAGCAACTGTCATCCTTCCCTGAGATCCCTTCCAATCCCAGTGCTCTGAGGGAGGGATGCAAAAACTGCATAAAAAGCAGCATTGTTTGAACTGCCCTGCTTTCTGCCTTGGGGTCAGTTACTGAGCTGTGTCTTCCAGTTTTGCCTGTCGGCAGCTAGAGGTGCAGGGCCCCAGAACCCAGACTCCCCCTGCACCAATCTTCTTGACAGCTGGCAAGCTTATTGGCCACAGCAGGGGCTAGGAGGCCTGCAGTTTTCAATCCCCTGTGCCCTAAGATGGACACAATCAGTTGCACAAACACCCATGTCATGAGTTTTGCCTGTCAGCAGCCAGAGGAGCAGGGCCCCAGAAGCCCTGCACCTATCTCCTTGACAGCTGGCAGGTATTGTGGCCGCAGCAGGGGCTAGCATCCCTGCAGCTTTCACCCTGCTGCGCCTTATCACACAGTGTCACCCATGTCATGAGTTTTACTTGTCTGCAGCTTGAGGTGCAGTTTCCCCCAAGCCCCTGCACCAATCTCCTCGAAACTTGGCAGGCTTCATGCCCTCAGAAGGGGCTACCATTCCTGCAAGTTTCATCCAAATCAGGCTGAAAATGACAAAGTTATAGGCTATTTTGAGCTTCCCCATTATATCTTATGGGCAAAACGTCAAAACAGGGTTGAAACAGTGAAACTGAGTGAAAGTGTTTCTTTGAAAAGAAACGGAACAGAGGTTTCGAATCAAAGCAAAATTCAAAAGGAAATGCTGTTCTGTCGAAATGTTGAAACGCAAGTCGAAACGTAACGGTGCTATTTCACACAGCCCTAGTGAGAGCTGGGTCATCCGAACTGAAGCATTTTCTTATTTTGAGACAAGCCATTGTAAGAAAGTGTGGGAGCCAGCCCAGAAGGCAGTTAAGACTCCCTGAGTGGGGGATTTTGCATCCCCTGCATCACTGAGCTGCCTGAAAAATTAATCTACAATCTGAACACTTCTACTAATATTGATCGTACATGCTGTAAGGGTGGCAATGACCCTGCAACTGCGCCAGTGACAGCGGCCTCACAGTGCAAGCCCCCCAACCGCCGCTCTTCCGCAGGGGACTACACTCCCCGGCATGCCCCGCGGGCGAAAAGGGGCGGGAACTTCCGGGCGGCTCCTTCCGGCCTGGCCGCGAGGCGCGCTGTGGGAGGGGCCAGAGCAGAGCGAGCGGCTAAGATGGCGGCGGCGGCAGTGCTGGAGTTCCAGCGCGCGCAGTCCCTGCTCTCCACGGACCGCGAGGCCTCCATCGGCATCCTGCACTCTATCGGTGGGTGCCGCGCCCCCTGCCCGGCCCGGCTTGCCCCGCCGCCGCCCTG